CCCTGCAAGTTCAGATTCATCAAATAATCATTGCTTATTTCCACGTCTTGCTCTGCGTGCCTCCCACGGCCTTGAGCCAGAGCAAACCTGTCCTGAAGGTGATGCAGCTGCCCCGAGGGGAGCGGGGAGACAGTCAGGGAGTCGCCGGGGCTCCTGTCTTCTGCACACGAAGCCCTGGTACGTCCCTTACTCAAACTTATTGTTAGATGCACAGTTCAAGCGTGCAGGGTTGAGCCTCACAGGATTTAAGAACATTTCACGGATTCCGAGTACTTGGTGTCAGCTGGCAAACAAGCCAGGCTTCTCAGCTCGCCCGTCTTCAGTAACTTCGGGCCTGGGGGTGGCCCCAGCTCACAGCTAGAACCAGGGGAGCTGCAGAATGCAGGCTTCGAGGCTTCATGACATGAAATTCAAGTTCCTAAGGACTTCTGACAGGTGCTGGGTGCCCTCTGCAGACGTGCAGCCGTGAGAACAGGGTCCTGCTGAAGGTCTCTAACTGCCGGGGCAGGAACCCGCCGAGATGGCAGAGCTGGTGGGGGTGTCATTTGGGAGCAGAGGGAGCCCACATGCACCTCTGGAGCCCTCCACGCAGAGAGTGAGGGCGTGTGTAGCAAGAGCTGTCCCGGAGGCAGTGGGATCAGACGGAGCCAGCTGTGGGGGGGAGGTGGGCAGTGGGCACATTGTTTTGCAAGATGACTATACTGTTAACACTACTAAACTGTACGCTTAAAAATGGTGAAGATTCTAAACTTTTTGGTTTTTTAATATTTTAAAAAATGCATTAAAAAAATAGCCAGAGAGAGTCCCAGATCCCAGACTTCTTGACCTGCCACCTGCTGTGACACTCCCGCGCCCAGTGTCCTGAGGACAGCCTTGCTGAAAGCCACGTGGCATTTCTGTGGCATCCCCAGGCCCAGCCCCGTCCCCTCCGCTAGTGAGCCGGGCCTCGTGGGGCCTCGGGCTTTCCTTTCGCTGCTGCCGAGGGTGGCGCGAGGCCTCCCGTGCTGTCCCGTTCTTTCTGCGCCCGAACGCGGACTGTGTCCCTCTGGGTCTCTTCCCAGCAGTGGGAGGAGGAAGCAGCTTAATAACTGAGCGTCCTCCTCTGAGATGGGAGTCACTGGAGCTCACACCTGCCACCCCCCGGCTCCTGCCGCCCAGAGCAGGGCCCCGCTGCCCCTCGAGGGAGACAGACCACAGTCCGGCAGAGGGAACGGACAGGAGGGGCCGGTCCTGCAGCCAGAGGATGCGGGGCCTCTGCTGTCCCCAGCACACTCACTCCCGGGCGCCCTGCGTGTGTCTTAGAGGGTCCTTTCCCTCAGTCCCCGTCCGTGTCCCCTGCAGAGGCAGCTGAGCACTGAGGCACTGACCCCGCCCCATGCCTGTCCGCATTACTGACGTAGGTCTTGCTCCCCATCCCCAGAGGAGTCACCGCTGAAGGTCGCCCGGCTGGGAAGTGTCAGGTCCAGAACTGAACTTGGGACCTGAAGTCCAGAGTCTCGCCCGCCAAGTTAGCTCACTTCCTAACGCAGGTGCAGGTGCAGGTGCAGGTGCAGGTGCAGGTGCGCACTCACCAGCCGGGGAGATAAGCCTGGGCTGTGTGTGGGCTCAGGAGGGCCCGACTTGCGGGGCGGGGCGGGGGGGGTCGATAAAGGCAGATGCGTTTTAAATCAGCCCTGGGGGCAGGGAGCGTCCAGGGAAACTGGCACTGAGCCCGCGGAGGAGGGACCCCGATTACAGGGAGGGGGGTCCTGGGTCTGGGAGCCTCTGCAGAGAAGGGACGGATTTGTTACACGAAGTAAGGGAACGAGGAAGCCGTGTGTACTCAGGCCTCAGGCCGCTGCCCTGGGCACTCCCATAGGCGCTTCCCATTCACCTTCTCTGGTCCTCACAGCCGGGCCTGCAGTGTTGTCAGCTGTGTGTTCTGATTGGGTCAAGATGAGCCGCGAGCGCATCCACGGGATAGAGCCAGGCTGCCCTGCGCCATCCGGGGGTCGAGTCTGTGGAGGACTTGGCGGGAGGAAAGCACATCTGTGCTCTGGTCTGCCTGCCGTTCCCTCAGGCGCACGTCTCCCTTCACCGTGTGGGGCGGTGGTGCCCGGCCCTCTGACTGGGGAGCCCACCCCCCACAGCGGCTCCCTGAGACCACCCAGGGCGGTTCGGCGCACTCGGCACAGCTGGGCAACATGTCTGCATGGACATCTTTGATGAGCGTCTGTGTCCCTGCTGGGCCAAGTTCCATGAGGAAGGGCACCCGTTATATTTCTGCTCTGGCCAGGCGCGGGGCCTGGCACCGTTAGACACTCGAGAAACATCTGTGCTTGGATGACTGGAGGACAGAGATGAAGGCGTGGAGACACTGCTGATGGGGCGCTCACTCAGCCAGGAAGCAGGGAGAGGCGAGGCCAGCGAGAGGCCGGCACACAGTGACCCGGGCCGTGTGGGGCGAGGCTGCGCCCTGAGGAGGCGGTGCTGGGCCGAGACCTGGGTGTGAGAGACTGACTCTCGGAGGATCGGAGGATCGTGCAAAGCGTGGGCCCCGGAGGTGGGGAGGAGAGACAGGCTGGGCAGGTCTGAGGATGAGAAAGGCTGGAGGAGGCGAGATTGGGTGGAGCCAGTGGCCAGCACCTGCCCAACCTGAAGGCTGTAGCGGGGGAGGGGCAGGGGTGAAGCAGAGAGACGTGATGGAGAGGCTGTGGGCAGACTGCAACTGGCAGGTGGGCGCAGTGGGGGTGGAGAGACGGGGATGGGGGCCGACCTGGGTGGGTCAGTGCAGTGTAGGGAGATGGGGGGGTGAGGAGGAGCAGTTTGAGGGGTTGGGTTTGGAAAGGCTATTTGGGGTGTCTGTAGCCGGGCTGCAGATGAAGCTGGAAGCCGAGCTCACTATGTGGCTGAGTTACTGGCGAGATTGTAGACTCGGAGAAGAGGGGTCCCCAGTTGGAGCCCTGGAGCGGCCCTGCATGTTGAGGTCGGGCAGGGCAGGAGTCTGCAGTGAAGGCGACGTGGTGGGCAAGGTGGGGGAAGGCTGGTGGGAGTGCCAGGCAGGCCAGGGGGACAGTGTGTCACAGTCCCAAATCCCGGAACTGCCTCGTCGGCACCGGGTACCTTGCGCACGCCTGGTCCTCCCGAGCTGTGGCTGTGGGCCTTAGGCTGTCCCTGTCAGCGGGGCGGTCCAGGTCGGCGGCCTCCGTGGTGCTGTCACAGCTGCAGGCTCACCCGGGACTCCTCCAGGGCTCAGCCTCTGCTCAGCCGCTGGCTGGTGCGTGACGTCTCGTGCCGAGGCCTCGGGCTGCTGCCGCCTTCAGGACCTTTCTCCCGCCGAGTCAGGCGGTTGGTCTTGATTCCGTCACGGCCTGAACTGAGTGCGACCCACACCAGTTGGCTCTCTGGACCTCCGTGTCCATGCTGAGCGGTCATCCTCTGACGGTGCCCTCTCCTCCCAGCGCCCTGGCGCCTGGGTGCCGGCAGGTGCGGCCTCAGGTGTCAGCTGGGGCATCAGTCCTGCCCTGTGTTTGCCGAGATCTCGGGTTCATCTCTAGCAGCGTGATTACCACACCAAAGGATCGGTGTGTGCATACTTTTTTCTAGACATTAACTATATTTTTGCTGAAACTTTGCTTATATAGTTGAATTTTATTATCTTAACACATTCACCTAGAAAAAATCGCTTTATTTTGCCATTAAAAATACTTTTTAAAAATGTATTTTTATTGATTTCGGAGAGGAAGGGAGAGGGAGAGAGAGAGAGCATCACTGATGAGAGAGAATCATGGACCGGCTGCCTCCTGCACGCTCCACACTAGGGATCGAGCCTGCAACCCAGGGCCTGTGCCCTTGACCAGAATCAAACCCGGGACCCTTCAGTCCATAGGCTGACGCCCTATCCACTGAGCCAAACCAGCCCGGGCTATTTGCCACTTTAATGTGAAAGAAATCTCCTTAAACACCCCCGTCCCTCTGTGGAGCGTATTGCTGAAAGTGCTCTGTAAGATGGGTCCGTTTCTGTGGACTGACTGCACTGTCACCGAGTATAGAACACACGAGATGAAACGGTGGCTGAGGCGTGATCCCAAACCTCAGGAGACTGCAGGTGGAACGTGTGTTAGTTACTTCCTTCTGTCTGCTCCTCATTCTGTTGGCTGTATGTTTGTCCCATGTTGGTGCCAAAAGACTGGAAGAGGCGCTGGGAATCGTGGCCGCAGGGTCTGGGGGGCAGAGGGCGTAGGGGAGCCTCGGGGATGCGCTCACCAGGTAGGGGTCCTCCCGTCACTGACTAGACGGCTGCGCACGAGGTGCGGGCACTCGCATCGTGGCTCAGGGGACAGGTCAGACCCGGAGCTTTGGGGTCCCACGGTGCTGCTGCTGGGAGGGGCGCTCGGGAGGGCTTCCCTGGGGTCTCACTGGGCCTCTGTGGGGGCAGCTGACAGCGATGCAGGGGGAAGGAGGCCAGGCACAGGAGGAGCACGTGCAGGACTGAAACGAAGCGGGGCGGGGAAGCTGGGCAGGACTTGGCGTCTTAGGGTCAGATTTTCAGTTCATCAGGAAACCTCAGGGCAGAAGCAAGGAGCGCATCTGACACCACACATCACGTGTCCGCTCTCCCTGGGGACCGCAGGGCGGCTCTGACGTGGCGTGTTGGCTGCGGAAACAGCAGGATTGTCCCCTGAAGTCCCAGGTGTGGGGTGCTCCTTCTGGTCCTGTATGCGGACGGCTGTTCCTCGCCTCACGGGGCCTTCTGCGGGCTCCTTTCCCAGTAGCACCCGCTGCGCTCAGGTCCCACAGGGCGTGGTGGTGCTGGCTGTGACGTGCTGTGCACAGGAGCGTGACATCTGCACCTTCTCTCTGCAGACCTGCACCCCACGGACAGCTCTCGGGAAGGGGTCCCTCCGCGGGGGCAGGGCAGGTCTGCGCTGCTCTCATGGTGACATCGCTTCATTACGGAACCGGCAGCAGTGCCCTGGACAGCCAGGCCCTTTCACCGTGTCTGTTTGTTTCTGTCGCAGGAGACTGGAGTGGCGCCTGGGCAGGGAGTCCTCAGCGGGAGGAGCCGCACACCTGGGCCCCAGGAGCTGGCTTCCGGGGAAGGCTCCGGCGGATGTGCAGGAGGCGGGATGTCACACTGACCCTTCCCGGGGAGCCTGCACGCAGCCTCTCAGCCTCTGCGGCGAGGGACACTGTGCACCGCCGTCTCTGCGTGAGAAGTGCGAGGCCGTCCACACGAGGGAGCTTCCAGGGGCTTCAAACGCCCGCCAAGGCCTGCAGCCGGAGCCCGTGGAATGTTGACACTCGGGACCCAAAAGGGAGCTCGGCGTTCATGAGCCCAGGATTCGCGCGGGCGTGCGTGTCGCTGCATCGTCCGTAGAGACCGAGGGGAACACTATGCAGGAAGAAGCCTTACTCAGGAAGGCAGGCAGGGCAGAGCTTAGGCCCACCTTGAACCCCCCGAGCAGAGCGAGCCTGAGATAAGCCGCCAGCATGGCCAAGTGCGAGGCTCAGCGACCTCGCGCCCTCTAACTAGTAGCCACAAGGAACTGTCTCCGCTCCGCCACGATACCAAATAGGAAACATGATCTACAAGTGCCCCATGTGTAGGGAGTTTTTCTCTGAGAGAGCAGACCTGTTCATGCATCAGAAGGTCCACACTGCCGAGAAGCCCCATAAGTGTGACAAGTGCGACAAGGGCTTCTTTCACATATCAGAGCTCCACATTCACTGGCGAGACCACACAGGAGAGAAGGTCTATAAATGCGATGATTGCGGTAAGGATTTCAGCACCACAACGAAACTTAACAGACATAAGAAAATCCACACAGTAGAAAAGCCCTATAAATGTTATGAGTGTGGCAAAGCCTTCAATTGGAGCTCACACCTTCAGATTCACATGAGAGTTCATACAGGCGAGAAACCCTATGTCTGCAGCGAGTGCGGGAGGGGCTTTAGTAATAGCTCAAACCTGTGCATGCATCAGAGAGTCCACACCGGAGAGAAACCCTTCAAATGCGAAGAGTGTGGGAAGGCCTTTCGGCACACTTCCAGCCTCTGCATGCATCAAAGGGTGCACACGGGGGAGAAGCCCTATAAATGTTACGAGTGTGGGAAGGCCTTCAGCCAGAGCTCTAGCCTCTGCATCCACCAGAGAGTGCACACTGGGGAGAAGCCCTACAGGTGCTGTGGGTGTGGGAAGGCCTTCAGCCAGAGCTCCAGCCTCTGCATCCACCAGAGAGTGCACACTGGGGAGAAGCCTTTTAAATGCGATGAGTGTGGGAAGGCCTTCAGCCAGAGCACCAGCCTCTGCATCCACCAGAGAGTGCACACAAAGGAGAGAAACCATCTCAAAATATCAGTTATATAGAGCGTTTTGCTAAGAGTTAAAAATCTTAAAACCCGTAAGTGCCACTAGGAAGGAAACCCTATGAATACCTGCATTGACCCAAGAAATTGCTCCTGGAAGCCCGGCAGAACGTTCTTTTGAGGAGGTGTAGGTGAGGTGGTTTGTTTTTAATTCCCACCAAGTGTGTTCCACAACTTGATGTCCCTCCGGGCGTCTGCCCAGGATGGGTTGTGAGGTCCCAGCCGTCTCCCATTCACAGAATGCGGGTGTGTGTTTCCTGGGCTTCCGGCCCGATGCCTCTCTAGTTGAGTGCTACACAGGAAACCATGATCATCACCCAGCCTCCCGCGTCACCTCCCACGGACGCTTCACCCACCAGCGAGTGTCCAGGTACCCCTGTCAGGAGCTCAGGACCCCCTTCTCTGGATCAGCGTGTCAGTTAGTGCTTTGAAAGGGACCGCTCCCCGAGGCAGTGCTCTAGAATTTCTCCATAGATCCCATTGTCTGTCGCCCCACTTCCCTGCGTGTCCTCAAAGTCCTTTCCCAGAAACACCACCCTTCCTAGATGGCATCCGATCTCACTAGGTTTCAGGCGTCTCGGGCGCCACTCATGCGACCCATCAGGAGTCATTGGCAGGCGCACGCTCCCTTAAACATTTTTTTTTTAATTTTGTGGATTCTGCTAATCACTGTGTTCCTTCCTGTTAGACTTTCTAGCGGCTCCATCACCTATTTCTAACTTGAACTTTTTTTTTGGAAGTAGCTGAATGCAAATAGGGAGGGGTAGGCAGAGCTGGAACTTTTCTGTGCCCAGATTGCCCTCAGGGGCTCCTTTGTGACTGGATCCTTCTGGGCCAGAGCAGCCCGTGGGGGTGGGAGGTGGGAGGAGCCACTGTTATAGTCTCATCCCTGTGATTCTGGGCAGTGGCAGCCGGGAGCCCTCGGTGACCCCTTGGTTGAGGATTACCTATCGGTTCCTTTTTAGGCCTGAATGTCTATGCTAGTTACCTTTTCTTTCTTCATTCATTCGAATATTTATTGAACACCTCCTATGTGCCAGGCACTGTGCTGGGTGCAGGGAATGCCACTGAATCAGACAGACAAGGGCCCCTACTCATGGAGTTTACTTCTGGTGGAGGAGACAGGCGATGAGTAAACAAACATAACGTAGTTGAGATAGTGATTAAGTGCTATGAAGAAAATAAACTGGGTGATGATTTAAGTCGAGGGTGGGAGGGCGGGGGTGGGGCATCCTTAGGTAGCAGTCGGGCAAGGCCTTTCTGGGGGTGGCGTTGGGCGGAGAGCAGAGGATCTCTGGCTGGTGGAGCCCCCAAACCGTAGCGGGTGGACCTGCGGTGTTTGTGGAAAGGCGGGTGCTGAGGAGTGAGCAGTGAGGGGCAGGTGCTGAGGTTCTAGGCCTTTTTTGTTTTGTTTTGTTTTTTTGTCTACATTGATATTAAACACTCATGTGGAGGAACTCAAGGAATGTCTAGACGACCAAAAGTCCCCAGTGACAACAAAAGCGGCCAGCGGCCAGCCTTGTCTGCCCGTCCTGTCGGCACTGGCCCCACATGCAGCCCTTTGCTCAGGAAGTCGTGGGGAGTTATGGTCTCGAAGTTCGGACACGGGTGGCGTGTCCCCACGTGGTGTCTCCATGGCACAGGTGGGAAACGAACCACCAGAGCAGTCAGAAGTGCTGGCGGAGCTTGGGTTTCTCACGTGTGAGCTTTCTGTTGGGCTGGAAGGGGGCGACTTAGGGGAGCACACGGTGGGCGGGCCGGGGAGCCAGGGGCCCTGGGGCAAACTGGTCACCGTCTGGATTTGACTCCAGATGTCGTCGCAAGTCTTGGGGGCCACACCCCACACGCTCCCCCTTCACCCAGAACGGCCGGCGCAGCCCCCACAGTCCCTTCCAGGCCGGTCCCGACCGCAGTGTACTGTAGCGTCTCTCTCATGTCCAGTAGCGCGAGGCTTAGGGGAGTAGCCTTCTAGTCCGTAGAGTTAGTGTTAGGACAGTTGGTTTGATTTCTAGCTTGATCACTGTTAGGGGGGTGAGCTTGGGCAGATCACTTGGCCTTCGAGTCTAGGTTCCTCCCCCGCGAGGACGCTGGGCTCGGGACTCCGTTCCCAGCTCGCCTAGAGTTCTATATTTCTACATAGTTGAATTATTTTATCATGCTGTTGCTGGGAAACGACTAACACTTTTGAAGCTACTAATCTTATGTCGAGCTTTAAAGTCCATAATTGTCTTCAGAAAATATTATTTGACCTACAGTATGTCCAGATCAGTTTAATAAAATTACTTTATAACAGGGCTCTGTGCCTGGCCTGTGGTGTGTGAACTTCGTGGTCGGCGTGTATGTGTGTGGACTCCGTGGTCAGCGTGTGTGTGTGTGTGAACTCCATGGTCAGTTGGGGGGGGGCACTTGTGCACCAGGGCGACCATGTAATGTACAGTTCGAGATGGACACATGCGGGGGAGGGGTGGGGTGCTGGCCATACCTGAGTGAGGACTGCAGGCCTACCCGGGACCAAACCAGGGTCACAGCCCAGATGACTGAACTGCACGAGGAGCAATTCCAAGAGGAGTCAGGTCCGCGGCTGGAGGCAGCGCCCCGTCCTGGGCAGCCCACCTTGGTGGTAGCTGTCTGTTTCCACGCTGGGATCACCCAGGGTTCCCACACATCCTGCTCTTGGAAGAAAAACCGACACACACGACTCTGCCACCCCGACAATAGTTCACGTTCCCTGTGGGCCCATCGTGGTCATCCGTGGGGCCCCACGTGCCGTAGGCCAGGCCTGCGCCAGTCCCTGCTGGCCACCCCCCGCTGGCCCGAGGGCAGGTCCGCGCCCCACGGCCACAACCTCGGGGGAGGCAGCCCACACTGGCCCTTGGGCTGTGGGTAGTGGGGAAGAGAGGCCACACGTGGGCTCAATGTCACCGTGGAGCCCTCCTGGTGCCCACAAGGACAGGGTGAGAGGTCAAGGCTGACGTCCAGTGAGTCTTTAGTCTCAGATAAAGCTGTTCCTGTCGCTTGGTGCTGTGTTCTGTGTGTGGGTCGTGTCCCATGTCACTCGCCTGGAGTACAGTGTGCAGGTCCTGCCTCTACAGACGTCAGAGTCAGCCCGACCTGCCCAGTGCGGCGGGTGACCCAGTGCGGCGGGTGGTCGGGGCAGAGCTCAGGGTGTCGCCTGCAGACACGGGAACACTCAGTGGGCCTGTCTCCTCAGCAGGGTGGGTTTGTGCTCACTTTTTCCTCTTGGACCCAAGAATTGTTTGGGGGAGTTGACCTAATTTTTTTCAATTGTATATTCTCTCTTTTCCATCAATCACTGTACAGATAATATTTTAAGAACAGACACACACACAGGAAGTCAGGTGTCTTTCTCGGGGAAACTTGGAGAAGGCCCCCCCCCCCCAAAAAATAGTCCCGTCCAGTTCCCTCACATCACATTTCACAATGGAATTTTCAAACGCTTAATTAGAAAAGTCACTTCTGTCTCTCCCACCTGAGTTTATAGACAGATGTCGTCACAAGTCTTGGGGGCCACACCCCACACACTCCCCCTTCACCCAGAACGGCCGGCACAGCCCCCACAGCCCCTTCCAGGCCGGTCCCGACCGCAATGTACTGTAGCGTCTCATGTCCAGTAGTACAGAAGTCTATACCTACTGCACTGGCTTAGGTGATACTTAAGGAGAAATTTGAGTGTTTTTTTTTTTTTTGCTCCTGTGGACAAATCAATTTAAAAAACAAAACCAAAAACATGATCCCGGCCGGCGTGGCTCAGTGGTTGAGCGTCGACCTATGAACCAGGAGGTTGAGGTTCGATTCCCGGTCAGGGCACAGGCCCAGGTTGCAGGCTCGATCCCCAGTCGGAGGGCGTGCAGGAGGCAGCCGGTCAATAATTTTCTCTCATGGATGTTTCTCTCTCTCCCTCTCCCTTCCTCTCTGAAATCAATAAAAAAATATTTAAAAAAATACAGAAAGTACGATCATACTACACAGGTTTAGCCTAGTAGAAGAGAGAGCCTCTAAACAATTGCTCATGGCACAGGGCCCTAGAACACCCATAGAAGGGTGACCCCCGTGCTGCGTTAGCGCAGAGGTCAGCGTGAATAACCTGTCTCTGGCCATGGAGCCAGGTGGGGCTTCCACCAGAAGGGCTTTAAGGGCTGCATAGGAGTTCGCCTAATAGTATAGTGAGAAAGCAGTGGAGAAAATACATACTTTGGGTCTCAAAATTAGTCCTGCTTCAGAACCACTGGAGGGCTTTTGGGAACAGGGGTCCCTGAGCCCCACCCCGAGTTTCTGATTCAGTGGGTGCGGGGGTGGGGCCTGAGAATTTTTGTCTCTATCAAGTTCCCAGGGGATGCTGCTGCTGCTGCTGCTGCTGCTGCTGCTGCTACTGTCACCCGAAGGACCACCTCTGGAGAGCGGCTGACGCGCACGCAGACCTGGCCTGCAGTCGCAGCGCGTTGGGGGAACTGTAAGTAACTCGGCGTCGCTGGAATTTGATGTGTCTGAGCGATTCGTTGAGAGAGCTAGGGAGGCGCCTGCGTGTCCAGGAGGGGTGGGCAAGGGAAATGGAGAGACTCGGCGGCGGGCACCAGGATACAGGACATAGGACGTGATCGCATGTCTAGCCCTAATGATGCGAGATGATACGTGAGTGACCTTCGGCCCTAATGATAGGAGATACAGTAGCCCGTGGCGTAACTGTCAACCCCGTATGTTACGAGGCGAGATGACGGTCAGCGGGCGTTGTGCCCCCTTCACAGCTGAGGTCACTGCCCGCTGTCGCGCGGCTCACTGGTTGGAGAGGTGGAGGCAGAGGACACGGAGGAGGACGCCTACAGTTTCTGCTTTGGAGGCAGATGCCAGGCGATGCCGTGACCACGGCGGGGAGTGCAGGGGTCGGGGGAGCAAGTTTGCACCATGTGTGCCGTTCTCGTCGCTGTGCGTCCTGATGGCTCCCTCTGGCTGCTGCTCAGTGGCCTGTGTACGGACCACCCACCGTCCCCACCCACTCGCCTGCGGTGGGCACGGGGCTGTGTGCACATCCACAGAGGTGTGTGTGGGGGGGGGGGCTCCCCCGACGTCTCTCACTGCGGTTGCTTTTGTGCCTCTAAAGCAGGGGTCCTCAAACTTTTTAAACGGGGGGCCAGTTCACTGTCCCTCAGACCGTTGGAGGGCCGGACTATAGTTTAAAAAAAACTATGAACCAATTCCTATGCTCACTGCACATATCTTACTTTGAAGTAAAAAAACAAAACGGGAACAAATACAATATTTGTATTTGCATGTGGCCCGCGGGCCGTAGTTGGAGGACCCCTGCTCTAAAGTCTCTTACTCAGCCCGGCCGGTGTGGCTCAGGGGTTGAGCGTTGACCTATGAACCAGGAGGTCAGGTTCGATTCTGGGTCGGCACAGGCCCAGGTTGCGGGCTCCATCCCCAGTGGGGGGCGTGCAGGAGGCAGCCGGTCAGTGCTTCTCTGTCATTGTTGTATCTCTCTCTCCCTCTCTCTTCCTTCCTCTGAAATGAATGAAAACATGTTTAAAAACGAAGTCTCTTACTCAGAGGTGGAAGGGGTGTCCCCACAGCTCCTGGCCTCTGGGTGTCACCCTAATGGCTCCCGAGCCTCAGGCGTCGCCCTGAGGTGTAGGATTCCTTGTGCCTCTTCCTGCTTTTGCGGGGGGGCGGGGGGCAGGGGGCAGGGGGCCTGCAGGCAGGACACAGAACTCCATCCCTGAACCCGCCTCTCCCTTTCCGGGTGTTGCCCCGCTTGTTAACGTGGCGCGATGTCTGTCTGCAGCCACCAGAGGGCGCCGGCCGCCTGAGTGATGGAAAGCGCCCCACAGGCAAGGAAAGGCGCCCGGTTCTCCCAGAAAGTGGCCTGTGGAGCGTTGCCTCCCGGGCTATCCAAGTCTCGGGGCGCTTGTTCAATTGTCGCAGAAGTGTTACTGACTCCCCCCAAGCCCCTCGGGTTCGGGGCGCCGTGGGTGGGGCTCAGGCCCCAGCAGGGAGCGCGGTGTCTGGCGGGTGTGTGAGGCCGAGGCCGGTGTGGAGCTGGGCCATGGGCGGCCGGGGCGGGGACCTCGAGCCCAGAGGAGGGGCCGGGAGGGCCTGGGGCCCAGGCTCTGAAGAGCGCAGAAGTGAGTGAAAAGGGTTTTTCCGAGAAACCAAGGCCGGCTCCGGGGGGAGGAGAAGGGAGAGCCCCCACCTCCCACGCTGACCCAGAAGCACCCCAGTTCTCCCCCTCGCCCTCCGCCCATGTCCTGAGCGAGGCTCCAGGACACATTCCCGCCCGAGGGCCAGGCTGTCCACAGCACCGCCGCCGGCCACGAGGGGCAGCGCGCAGCGCCTGTGACAAGAGTCCTGTCCAGCACCAGGACGCTGTCCCCTCCTCTGAGTGCCTGCCTGCTTGCTCAGGGTCAGGAGCTTCCGGTGCAACCGGCCTATGTGACGGTCATTCCCCGGAGCCGGAGCCAGGGAAGAGTGGAGAACCGTGGGAACCGTGGGAGCCATGGGAGCCGTGGGAGCTGGGGCTGCACAGGCCGGGAAGCCCCTCCTGCTGACCGTCCTTTCTCAGCGGAGATGGGCCTCGGGGCAGCCGCAGGGAAGGGTGGAAGAGAGCGTCCCGCTTCTGCTTACAGTTCGAGCCAGCGGCGTGTCTGCCTCCCTCCCTCCCGCACGTGAGTCCGCTGGTCTCCGGGGGCCACTTGGACACAGCCGGTGCCCTGACCCGGGCCGGGATCGAGCCTGCACCTGAGGCATGTGCCTGTGGCCGGAATCGAACCTGGGACCCTTCAGGCTGTGGGTCGGTCCTCTGTTCACGGAGCCAGGTTGGCGAGGGCTCGTCGGCGACCTTTTTTCAATAGTAGTGTAATTTTATTTTTTGCATGTGGCTTTCCAGTTTTCCCAGAACCATTAATTGAAGGGTTGGATTTGTTTTTTCATTGACTTCAGAGAGGAAGGGAGAAGGAGAGAGAGAAACATCAATGATGAGAGAGAACCGTGGATTGGCTGCCTCCTGCACGCCCCCCACTGGGGATCGAGCCCACAACCCGGGCCTGTGCCCTTGGCTGGGAATCGAACCGTGAGCTCCTGGTTCATGGTTGACGCTCAGCCGCTGAGCCTCGCCGGCCGGCTCACCGTGACCTTAGGGCTCGCTCCTGCCCGATGCAAGGGACAGGCGGGCCCAAGTGGAGCATGAAGACGAGACGCAGCACCTCCGTTTTAAACACATTCGGCCTCACTCAGCTGAGCAGCTCAGGTCAGGGGTCACAGCTGGGAGGGCAGGGGTCACGGCT